AATCCTCTCTCCTCTGCCACAGTAGGAACCTGATTTTCCTTTTGTTGTGAGCTCTGCACTCTGGTGCCTTGAGAGCCGACAGGCTGGAGAAGGGGAACACGCTGTTTCACCCTCAAAGCCTATGTTTTCACCAGTCGAAGGGCTAGGGCAGTGGCTGGATTTACCCTGTTGCCTTCCCTTTGCCTTCCATCTCCCCCCTGCCAGGTTGGTGGTTGAGACAAGGGAAGCAGCCACCTGTCTGGAGGGACAGACTGGGTCCCTGGGGATCTCTCCAGCCGATCCCCTGGGTGCTGGGGCCACTAGAGGGCACCCACCAGTTGCCCAGTCCTCGGAGACAGGGACACTAGGGTGCAGCATCCCTCCCACTGCAGCCACACCCGGCACTGCCAGGGCTTGCTCCCCTGGGACGGGACCTGGCTCTGAAAAGTGACACGCAAGGAAAGTAGCAAGGTGGCATGAGAGGGCTCAGCGACCGCGGCCGAGCTTGGGTCCTGGCTGGTCCACGTGGCCGGGGGGCAATGCTGTATCTCAGGGCAGCTCGCACGGGGGCTTCGGGCTCCGCAGGTGGGAGATGTTCTGTGGGGTCAGCAGGGCAGGTTTCTCTGTCCAAATCGTTGTCTGCTGCAGTGAACTGCTCCTGAGGTCTGGAGCAGGGTGCCGACGCTTTCTGTAGTGAGGGTTATGCAAGGTCAGGAGGAAAAAAAAAAAATGAGAATGAGTGTGCCAGCTATTGTGTGTCCAGTGTTGCCTGTTGGCATTAAGTTATCCGAAATGGGAAGGACCATCTCTGCAAGGCCAGAAGAGCTGTGCTGGCTGGATCTGCTGGAAAAGCGCCCATCAGGAAGCGTTTGTGCTGATATTTGAATGGTCACTACTCTCTTAAAACTAGGGAGGGATGTTTTGCTTCCAGAGAAGCTGGGTGGTTGCCTGCAGCCCTGGGAACGGCTACTCCCGGCTGTGCTTTTACTGAAGCTTCTAGAGCTTTCTCATCTGCGTAGGCAAAATCTCACTTGAGTTTTGTTTTCATGCACCTGCTTTGTTTTTAATTAAAGCTTGGCTATTAAAGCACAACTTCCCGGTCCCAGAGTACAGGGAAAGTGTTTGTAAACACTGGCATTAAGTCTTGTTTTAACAATCCCCAGGCCTCTCACGAGTCCTGGAGCCGAGTTAACAAACAGGTTGATTTAGCAGCTCTTGATGCAGTGCTGCCCGGGGAGGCCTTGGCGCGCCGCACAGCCTGGGCAGCTCTTTGGGAGGGAGCTGCTGCGCCTCTGGGCAGCGCCGGTGCCTTGGCAGCTCACGCCGGCTCATCCGGGTTGAGGAGCCGTTGCCGCTCCACCCGGACAAGCCCCGCTGCTCAGCGCAGGGTATGTGCTGCTCGCTCTGGGATCTGAGTGCACGGTCCTTGCACGGCTGCAGCTCTTCTACCGGAGCGTGCCTCGGCACACGTGATGAGGCCAGCACGGTGCGCGCTGTTTTTCTCGCAGAGGAAGTGGGCTCCGAGAGGCCGCAGGAGCCGAGCGGGGCTCCCCAGCCACTGCACCCTTCCCTGCCTCGCGGCATCTCAGCACAGGGAGTCTCTGCAATTCAAGTGCCCGGGACGCGCGGAGGGCTTTAGCAGCTGAGCAGGACAGAGTCCTTTCCCTTCTCAGTGCTGTGCCGACGGCCCTTGTCTTGTCAGCGGCTGAGTTCCCTGGAGTCCGCTCCACAAATCCCACCTTGCTGAAGGCAAGGGCAGTGCTCCGGCTAATGCAACCCTTGGTGCCAATTTCTCCTCAAAAAATCCTCAGGGAAAACATGCCCCGGGCAGAACCTGTGCCTGCTGGAGATCTTGGGAGGGGATGACAAAGCCAAGCAGTCGACAGTTCCTCGTGCTGGCACGGACATTGCCTCTGTGCAGAGGCCAGGCTGAGAGCATCGGCAGTTGGTCCCACGCAGGATCCACATGCTGCTCTGATGGAGGCAGCTGGATAGAAATTGGAGAGTTTGTTCCAGGGAGTGTTTGGTCTTGGGCTCATCGGCTTTGAAGCAGTTGTCAATGATATGAGTGTTGGCTCAGCCAAGAGATCTGCTGAGAAGAGCCCGGTCTCTGGTCCCGATTTAGAAAGCTTGAATTAAGTGGTGCCTCTGAAACCACAGGGATTGCTCAAAACCTTACCCTGCGGGAGTGGGAGCTGTTCCCACAACGGCTGAGGGTGGTGATGCTTCCCCCTGCTTCGGCTTTGCTGCACAGGCTGAGAGGGGATCCCTGTTCTCCCTTTGCCTCGTGCTCTTTTGGAAGAGCCTCTTCCTGGAGAATGAAGTAACCCAGAAGAGATCCCAAGTGGTGGTGGGTTTTGGGATGGTTGTCAGATGCAGCAGGACCAACTCTGCTGTCCCAGGAGCACTGTGAGATGGGTCTTCCCCACCCGCAGGTCTGGGTTACTCCTGTGGTCCTGGGCAGGAAAAATTGCCAGCCAAGCTGGAGAGCGACTGACCAGCGGGGAGGTTGCAGCAGGGGCAGCGATGGTGAGGAGGGGAATAAAATGGGGTCCAGCTGGGACCATGCAGAGCCACTGCTCAGTAGCCAGCAGGGTTTAAAGAGCGTTTCCTCACCTGATGGAGGAAAAAGGGAGCAGGTATAAAGGAGGCAGCTGGGAGCTGGGGGGGAACATCTCCAGGAGCTGCCAAAGCAAGGTCCTCTGCGTTGCTGTCAACCTTGTGCAGCTCTCCCAGTGCAATTCCCTTCTCTGTTCCCCCGCAGCCCCTGTTCCTTCTTCCCTCAGAACTTCCCCCACATCCCTCCCTCTTTCCTCTCTTCATTCAGCCAATACTCTCCGAAATAAAACTAAAAAAAACACCCTGTTTGAAGCATAACTCTGTTGTTTGGTGACCTGTGGTTTAAGTGGTGAGCTGCGTGTGGGCTGGCTGCCAGCCTGTGCTTACACAGCACTTCACCCCCGGCCTCCCTCGACACGCTGCCACAACCGGCAGGGCTCGGCACTGCCGCGCTTTGCCGGACTGCAAGAGCCTCTTGCCCACGGTGCCGGCGTCTGCCAGAGCCACCAGCCCTGGCTGCTGACTGCACAGCCCGGCTGCGGTGTTCTCGTTCTCTGGTCTTGCAAAAACTGTGCTTGAACCGATGTAGAAAACTAGATTTTTTGGCTTGTGAATTTGACCTGTTCTTGCTGTTAGATCATCGGGAAACATGAGCATGTCTGGAGGTGCACGCACAGCACCACGGGGGGTGCGAAACACCCCGCTCTGCCTTAGGGACGGTATTAGGTGACAGCCTGTGATGGACAGAGATGCTCTGTTCAAGCATGAAGAAAATGTAGTAGAGGTTGGGTTTTCTGGGTTTCGGTGATCTTTGCATGCTTGAGTGAAAAACATTTTACGGCAGGGTGGTTGTTGCTAGGACCTGGTGGGTCTTGGCTGGGCCTGGGCGGTACTGGGCATTGCTTGGCCCATGGGGACGTTTGCTGGCTTATCAGAAAACCCTTGATTTCAAAATTATCAAAAAATTATCAAACCCCTTGATTTCCTGAGGTCCTTGTGAGTACGGGAATGCAAATGCTTCATTCCTGCACCTTCAGTCCTGTTTCTGCCTGTGAGTGGATGCAGAGGAGTTTGGCACTGAGAACTGCCCAGCTCTCTGCCCCCGCACCCCGCGAGGCTGCTCGGGCTCAGCAGGTCAGGGGAGAGGTAGTGCCACCACAGAGGGGGTCTCGCTCTGCCCTCGGGGGTCTGACCCCCCTTCTCGTGGGTGGTGCTGTGCCCTCAAAGCACCGTGCAAACAGCAGTGTGTTATATTTGCTGCTGGTGTGTAAGAAAAGCCCTTCCCTCTCCCTCTGAGGTTTGATGAGCTGCCTGGGGTGGAGGGTTGCGGTGGTGCAGGCTGCAGCAGCGAGCTCAGCCCTGCTGCGAGCTCAGCCCTGCTCCCTGGGGAGCCCAGCGTGGCTCAGTGTCACGCGAGCACCCTTTCCCTGCTCTGGGTACATTTTTACCAGCATTTCATGCATGTCTACGCAGTCATGTGCCAGCTCCTGCCGAATGCAGTCCTCTCGATAAAGGTGCAGCCCGTTCCTTTGCACCATGTCTGAACCCCCTGTGTCATCAGGGGCCATGGACGCGGTTGCCCTCCCCGACATGGTGGCAGCCTGCAGGGTGGCTGTCCCGGCTGGCACCTCTCCCCGCTCCAGCAGCCTTTCTGCTGCTCTTGTCAGCGTCTGCTGTGCACGTGTGGGCTTTTCGTCCCAGAGCTTCCTTCTGCAAGCAACCGGTGGGGCCACGTTATGGCTGCATCCTGCAGAGGCACCTGCACCGAGCCCTCCTGTCGCCCTGTCCCTGCTCGTGCCCAGCCTCCTGGTGTTGGCAAGGGCGGCCCTCCCGTGGCACGCTGGCACTCTCTGTGGTCTCAGCACTGGCTGGGGCACTGGGCTCTGGGGCTTGCCTTGCACAGGCTTCCTCTGCCCTGCTGACCCTTTTCTTGTGCCTCAGTTTCCCCTTTTAGCAAGAAGAAGTCTGCCTGTGCCTGTAGTAGCAGATGGGGGGGGATACCCGTCCCTGCCTGCACGTGCTGGTTTGCAGCGGGCAGCCAAGCAGCCAGGAGGCACAGGGGATGGAGAAGGGCCATGCTTGCGTCTGCACCCCCGGCACCCGCAGGGAGCTGCATCTCTTGCTGCATTCTCGCTCCCCAGCATGCAAGAGGGAGGTGCAAAGGAGGCTGCCACGCATTCGCCTGGGCTCCGCGATCACAAGGGGCTGATCCCCTCCCTGCTCGCAGGGCTTGCACACAGCAGCCTGCATGTCTGTGGGGAAGCTCCTGCTGCCCCGGCCGGGCAGGTTCCTCCGGCTGTGCTGCACAGGCAGAGCCGCGGCCGTGTCCCCACACACGGGGAGTGGAGCGAGCCCAGCCAGCAGCAGCTGTGGGAGCTGCTGTCGTGCAGCCCGCCGGACCCCAGGTTGTGCCCGGTGGCAGAGAGGAGCTGGAAAGGTTTCCGTCTCTGAGCTGCCCGGCCATGGCGAACGAAGAGGAACACCCGTCAGCGCTCTCAGATAACCAGGTAAAGGTGTGTGTGTGCGGGAAACCCTCTGCAGAAACCTGGGAAAGCCTCTGCCAAATGCTGCAGACCCTGTTCAGGCCTTCCCCGCAGGCCCTGGCCGAGGGGGCTTCCCTCACGCTGTGGGGGTGCTGCAAAAGGTGGCCACGGCTGCCAGCAAAGGGGTCCCAGCCCGCCTGGCCCAGGGCTTTGCAGGCTTGTGCTCGTTGGGGCCTGAGCAGCATTTCCCGGGGCGGCTGCTCCTGCTCCGCTGTCTCTGCATGACTCACCGGGCCCTGGGAGCCGTCCGGCTCCGGCAGTCTCGCCGGTTCCTCCGCGGCAGCCCCACGCCGTGCTGTCTGGGACCCGCTCTCAGCAGCACGGCCTGGAGCGGGACGCGGCTTCTTGGCACTCCCCAGCCCCGGGCGGGGGAAACTGAGGTGCTGCAGTGAGGCAAGCTCAGGAGGATGCAGCAGGGAAACCCCCTCGTGCAGCCACCGACGAGGGGCCCGTCCCATGCAGGAGCACCGCCGGGCTGGCAAGGAACCGGCCTCTGGCCCCTCCACTTTGCCCACCACCAGCGAAGGGCTCCAGCCGCCAGGCACAGCCTCTCGGGGAAGACACCTTTTTAACCTCGGCTCTGCCCGCTCCGTGGTGACACACAGGCACCAGCCGCCTGCTGCTGCTTTGGCCGGGAATGCCTGTGGGAGCGAGTCCGGCTGTGCCTGGGGCTCCACGTCCTCCCGCGCCATGGGGCAGACGAGGCTCCCGCTGTGGCCCTGCTGCAGGACGCCTGAGCCCGCTCTCCTCTCAATCTCTCTCCCTCAGGTCTTTGTGCTGACGTGCATCTACCTGCCGGCCTCGCTGCTGAGGTGAGTTCTGCCCCCCCAGCCCTTCGGCCATGG